CATTACCACCGGTATCCCACTTGTTTGGACCCTGAGTTGCATTACCACATCCTCCAAAGTTATCGTACATTCGCCACACGGCAAATGAAACGTGTGCGTTTCTGGTCTCCAACGTTCAATCAACGCACTGATCAAACCTGGGACCAACTTGTAATCTCGCACAAATGTTACATACCAAAATCCAGCCTCTTGCAAGTTTTCTTCTATCAATGGTTGTGGCTTGGGCACTTTATGTAGCCGAAGACGAAGGACTCACTGCCCGTTCTCCTGCAATTAAATATTTCAAAAAATTTATCACAATCATAAAATAATATTCAAATATTTATTAATTATAATTCATTAAACAAATATTTTGTTCAGCATTATTCCCAAATGACTTGAAATATGTTCATTGTCAAGTCTCAGCAGTGGAATTTGGTCCGCCATTTGAATGAATCTGTAAAAAAAATTAAACAACAATATTTAAAAAAAAACATTTAATATAATCTAATATAAACTAACTAACTAACTAATTTACAACACAACAAAAAAATTTAATATAATAATTTATAATATATTAAACTAATAAACTAACAAACTAAACTTTTTAAAATATAAGTTAAACGTAAATTTTCCCTTAAACAACTAATAAATTATTCTTTAATATAACTATAACTATTCTTTAATATAACTTTACTTTTCTTTAATATAACTTAAACTAATAAACGATTTTTAATTATAATTTACTACTAAAAAACTAAATAACTAAATTTTTTATATAATATAAATTCAACAAACAAATATAACTTAACTATTTAACTAACACAAACTAATTACATATTTTTTATATATAACTAACGACTAACAAACTAACTAATTATTTTTATTAATATGTAACTATCAAACATACTAATTAAATAATTTTTTATTTCTATATGATATAACTTAAACTAACAATAATATAATTTAAACTAACAAACTCATTATCTAATTTTTTTGTTTTACCCTAATTTATAATAATAAACTAATTAACTAATAATTTATAACAATAAACTAATTTAAATAATTATTCTTTTATGTAACTTAAACTAATAAACTATTTTTTTATTATAATAAAACTTAAACTACTAATAAACTAATTAACTAATTTTTTTATATAATATAAATTCAACAACCAAAATATATATAACTTAACTATTTAACTAACTACAAACTAATTAAATATTAGACTAACTAACACACTAATTAATTATTTTTTTAATATATAACCATCAAACAAACTAATTAAATAATTTTATATTTATGTATGATATAACTTAAACTAACAATAATAAAACTTAAACTAACAAACTAATTAAATAAAATTTTGTTTTGCCTTAAACCTTAAACTAACAAACTAATAATTTAAAATAATAAACTAATTTAAATAATTAAAAAACTTACCTCGATGTTGTGTTATCCCTTTCTTCTTCTTCTCTTTTCCCTTGCTCTCTTCTCCCTTTCTTTCTTTTATGTTTCACTCATTAACCCCATCCAATATATAATACAACCACCCACCTCATCTGCTTCAATTATTCACCCTCAAATTGTCATTCACGTGAGCTGAAGGATTGAAATAATGCAGCAATAAGGGTTGTAATAATACAGCAATAAGTGCTGCAATAATGCAGCTGAATTCACGCTGCATGGGAGCAGAGGCGCAGCGAGAGCAGACCATAGGCATGCATGGCGACCTATCCCATGCCACGTGCATGGCCCATGCAAAGCACCAAAGCAGAGCAGCAGCTGGAATCACAACGTTGGTCGCCGGGCGTGCATGGCGACCTACAAGGTCGCTGGGAGTGCATGGCGACCTGTGTTGGGGACGTGCATGGCACATGCAGACGTTAAAACGTCCATTATCTCTGTGCAGCTCGCCGGGAAGCCATGGCGTCGTAGTAGGTCGCCCGGAAGGCATGGCGACCTACGGCCAACACTGTGGATTTCACCCTATTTCAGCAAATAATATGGGGAGTGCATTATCTCGTGAATTATTTAATTTAAACTAACAAACTCATTATCTAATTTTTTGTTTTACCCTAATTTATAATAATAAACTAATTAACTAATAATTTATAACAATAAACTAATTTAAATAATTATTCTTTTATGTAACTTAAACTAATAAACTATTTTTTTATTATAATAAAACTTAAACTACTAATAAACTAATTAACTAAATTTTTTTATATAATATAAATTCAACAACCAAAATATATATAACTTAACTATTTAACTAACTACAAACTAATTAAATATTAGACTAACTAACACACTAATTAATTATTTTTTTAATATATAACCATCAAACAAACTAATTAAATAATTTTATATTTACGTATGATATAACTTAAACTAACAAACTAATTAACTAAAATTTTGTTTTGCCTTAAACTAACAAACTAATAATTTAAAATAATAAACTAATTTAAATAATTAAAAAACATACCTCGATGTTGTGCTATCCCTTTCTTCTTCTTCCTCTTTTCCCTTGCTCTCTTCTCCCTTTCTTTCTTTTATGTTTCACTCATTAACCCCATCCAATATATAATACAACCACCCACCTCGTCAGCTTCAATTATTCACCCTCAAATTGTCATTCATGTGAGCTGAAGGATTGCAATAATGCAACAATAAGGGTTGCAATAATGCAGCTGAATTCACGCTGCATGGGAGTAGAGGCGCAGCGAGAGCAGACCATAGGCATGCATGGCGACCTATCCCATGCCACGTGCATGGCCCATGCAAAGCACCAAAGCAGAGCAGCAGCTGGAATCACAACGTTGGTCACCGGGCGTGCATGGCGACCTACAAGGTCGCTGGGAGTGCATGGCGACCTGTGTTGGGGACGTGCATGGCACATGCAGACGTTAAAACGTCCATTATCTCTGTGCAGCTCGCCGGGAAGCCATGGCGTCGTAGTAGGTCGCCCGGAAGGCATGGCGACCTACGGCCAACACTGTGGATTTCACCCTATTTTAGCAAATAATATGGGGAGTGCATTATCTCGTGAATTGTTTAATTTAAACTAACAAACTCATTATCTAATTTTTTGTTTTACCCTAATTTATAATAATAAACTAATTAACTAATAATTTATAACAATAAACTAATTTAAATAATTATTCTTTTATGTAACTTAAACTAATAAACTATTTTTTATTATAATAAAACTTAAACTACTAATAAACTAATTAACTAATTTTTTTATATAATATAAATTCAACAACCAAAATATATATAACTTAACTATTTAACTAACTACAAACTAATTAAATATTAGACTAACTAACACACTAATTAATTATTTTTTAATATATAACCATCAAACAAACTAATTAAATAATTTTATATTTATGTATGATATAACTTAAACTAACAATAATAAAACTTAAACTAACAAACTAATTAACTAAAATTTTGTTTTGTCTTAAACCTTAAACTAACAAACTAATAATTTAAAATAATAAACTAATTTAAATAATTAAAAAACTTACCTCGATGTTGTGCTATCCCTTTCTTCTTCCTCCTCTTTTCCCTTGCTCTCTTCTCCCTTTCTTTCTTTTATGTTTCACTCATTAACCCCATCCAATATATAATACAACCACCCACCTCGTCTGCTTCAATTATTCACCCTCAAATTGTCATTCACATGAGCTGAAGGATTGTAATAATACAACAATAAGGGTTGCAATAATGCAGCAATAAGTGCTACAATAATGCAGCTGAATTCACGCTGTATGGGAGCAGAGGCGCAGCGAGAGCAGACCATAGGCATGCATGGCGACCTATCCCATGCCACGTGCATGGCCCATGCAAAGCACCAAAGCAGAGCAGCAGCTGGAATCACAACGTTGGTCGCCGGGCGTGCATGGCGACCTACAAGGTCGCTGGGAGTGCATGGCGACATGTGTAGGGGACGTGCATGGCACATACAGACGTTAAAACGTCCATTATCTCTGTGCAGCTCGCCGGGAAGCCATGGCGTCGTAGTAGGTCACCCGGAAGGCATGGCGACCTACGGCCAACACTGTGAATTTCACCCTATTTCAGCAAATAATATGGGGAGTGCATTATCTCATGAATTATTTATTTTGAAAACATTATATCGTGAGTTTTGCTTATTATGGCATAAATATCCCGAAGTGAATCAAGAGTATCCGGTGACGATGTCATATTAAATTTAACTTTAATTTTTGTCACGGTTTTATATAAAATTAAAATAATTTAAAAAGAATATTAACATTATTTTATATTGCATACTGTAATTTAAATTTAGATTTTTTTTAACTCAAACAAGGTATCCTATAGTATTAATAAGACGATATATTAAAATTATAGAAATTGATTAATTTTTTAAATATATATATTAAAGGGTAAAGTATAAAAATAGTCTTCTAACTATAGAGCATTACTTTGTTGAGCTGCAACTATTAAAAGTTACAAAATAATCTTATGAATATAGGGCAATACTTCGTTGAGTCCTGCAACTATTAAAATTTACATAATAATCACCTGACTATTCATATGTTATAATTTTGTGTTTTTTTGTTTAAAAAATTAACATAGTTTAAACTAGACATTAACCTGCTCCGTTTAAAAATTAACATAATTTGAACTGGACGTTAACATATTGACTAAAATATGCTAAGATCTAATCTCAGAATCTTAAACGATTATCATATCTCAATCAGTATGTTAACAATTATCATATCTCAATCAGTATGTTAACGTCCAACTTAGAAGATCGTCAATTTTTTTTATCGAGAAAAGACGAAATTGAAACATATAAATAATCAATTGATCATTTTATAATTTTTAATGATCCAATAACTCAATAAAATAACAAAATATAATCAGAAGACTATTTTTCAACAAAGCAAAATCCTATATTATATATAATATTTCCAAAAAAAAAGCATTTATTTTTTTGTAACTACAAAGCCCAGCATTAAGTGTTGTGGGCACGTGGCATTTTGAAGGTTCCTAAAACCTAGGGAACAAAGTCACCAATAACCGAGTACCTATAATCACAATAAAGTTGAAGCATTAATCTCCAGATCCTGGCACACACTTTTCAATCATTTCACTATCCTAACCGAGCTGTTCAAAAATGATTTGTAGGACACTTTGATTTGGCAACACAGTTAATGGCACTCCTAGTGCAACAAATCATGCAATCAATTCCGTTTTAGCTGAAACCAAGGTCATTGCACCATATCTTTGAATGCACCTTCTCATTTATCCGAGAGAGAAATTCAAGCACTCATAAGGTTGGGGTAAGTTCAGTGTTATCATTGTGAACAGATTTTTCTGGAATAGTTTCTGGTTTCGTCATGATCTTAACTGGTTTCCCAAGTTTCGATTTATCTTCCATTTTTGCAATCTCAAGAGCCTTTGCACAAAGAGGAAAACCTTGATCATCCCAGGACTCCAAAATTACACCAGAACCAATGCAGGTTTGTCCCTCATAGAAGGCTGTAAACTGCCCAGCGGCAAGACCTTGGTCATCTTCAGATAAGTTAACAACTGCAACATCGTCCTTCCCATCTTCACCATGCACCATTTCATAGCTGCATTTATAAAAGCCAGGACCATGTCTGACCTGAAAAGTTCAGACTAGTTAGCTACAAGCGATAAGACTCAAATATTATACTAGCAGTAAGATGATTTCTGCAATAAAGTCATTTCAGAAGACTGACACCGAATACTAAGGGTAGAGGATTGTTTTACCTTGCATTGGAGCTGACCAACATGGTTTGGAGGTGACCCACTAAACCACTTCAAAGAACCAACACGAAACACTCGCCTTCTTTTGTCCAATGAGAAATAATTTCTTGATACAAATACAACATTATTTTTTACATTCTTCTGAACAACATACCTGAGAAAAATATAATATATGGTTGGAAACAAGAGCAGAAGGTTGGAAAAAAATGGAATTTTCCAAGTGCTTAAGGTCCTAAAATATCTGACAGAACATAACAATGTCTATTAGCAACTTGTCAAAGAATACATCAATAGGTGGAATTTTCCAAGTGCTTAAGGTCCTAAAATATCTGACAGAACATAACAATGTCTATTAGCAACTTGTCAAATAATACATCAATAGGTGGAGGTTTTCCTGGAGTCCTCAACTCAAGGTGAGCACCATTACCTAATCCCAATGTATTTTATGTTCGGTTTCCATCTTTAAAACTATATCAAAGTAGACCTAGCCCCTGGTCGATGCTCCTATCACATGATACAACATCAAGACAAAGCTAAGGTTGTATATTTACTTGGCAGAAAAGTCTTTGTTTCTTCCAACTGGTGTTGGGATGCCTGATCAATTTGACTTATAGGAATAAATGGAGAATAATGTTAGCAAATTGGATCAAACATCAACATAAGCATCTTTAAGATGTATGCAATCCATATTATATGCAAATTGTCACACAAGCTTGGTTTAAAAGAATTGTTCCTTTAAATTCCAAAGTGAGAAGAAAGGGAGAAGAACTGTAGAGCATTGGATACTAAAGCAATTCTTCCATAAAATTGAGAAAACTTTTGTCACCCCCAGGATAAAATGACGATAATCATACTGATATGAATAGTCAATAGGTATAGAGCATACCAAGGTCCTCCAGGGAGACGTAAGCCTTGGCGTTGACCAATTGTGTAGAACCAGAACCCCCTATGTTTCCCAAGGAAGTCTCCTGTCTCAGCTTCTAATATGATACCTTCCATCTCCCCAATGTGCCTAGCGACAAAATCACTAAACCTTATCTGTAATAAACCACAATATCAAATAAGCAAAAACTTTCATACATTAATACTAACTGTTGGTTGGTGCCAGTTATGTGCATAAAAGACCACTAGAAGATATTCTAAATTTCCTCAATTATCTCACCTAAGGCATTTCCTTGACTTATAAAAGAGAAAAAGATAAATACAACATGTGTAGAACTTGAGGGGCAAGATATGTTAACTTTGCTATAAAGTACCAAATCATCATCAAAAGGGTCTAAATAACTTCAATTATATATATTTCAATAAAAGATTTTAAAATGCATGGAAATGTGGTTTGAAACAGATGCTAATATGATATGACATTTACCTTCCCAAGAAAGCAAATTCCTTGTGAATCCTTCCTATCTTTGTTGGGCAAGTCAAACTTAGCAGCAAGTTGGCGAACTTCATCCTGTAGATGATATGGTAGTATATAGAAGAAAAATCAGAACTAAAAAGCAGCACAACAGACTGGCTTAAGCATAATAAGATCAGAAAAGCTTGGAAGAAAAAAGAAAAACATGTTTTGTTCCAGAGAAGGCCATAAAATCAGACAACTAATTTAATGAGTTCTGTAAAGACAGTCAAACATCCACAGCATTAAAAGATGAGAGCTTTGGGAAACCTGCAGATGAACGGGATGGCATCAAGGCAAGAGAATCAAGGAATTTGAAAAAATGTTTGTTACATGAACTGATTAATACAATGAATCTACGTGTTTATACAATAGCCATCCTGCTTTCCTTTCTAATAACAGCAATTTGAGATTATTTGAAATTCACCAATTAAAATAATCATAACAACAACAACAAAGTAGATGCCACCTTATGTGACAAACAAAGGTATAGCGAAAAAAGCATCCCAGTTGGCCAAATTGCAATTAATCTAGTGCTACTCACCTTTGAGAGACATCCAAGTGGGAAAATAAGTCTTTTGAGCTGGAACTGCGAGAGATGTGAAAGGAAGTATGTTTGATCCTTGACCTGCACATTTAACATACACAGAACAAATTGTTGTACTGAAGCTATATATAACAGGATATAGAAAACTGACCAGTATCTTACAAGATGCAAAGCAAAATCATAGTTTTGAATAAACACAAAAATGATTGGTATGTAATAACGGAACTTATAATATTCCAGTAAATCATTTCTATAAGGATTGTTTCCATACTATGTATATGTGTGTGTGTGATTCGTATGTGACAAAGAATTGACTAATAGTTTCCATTAAGAAATGCAAAGTTCTGATTAGGACTAATAGTTTCCTACATATTTACAATGTAATTTTCCCGAAAATGCTTAGGCATTGTTTCAAACCCAGTTCAACATCAAGCACAACCCTTATGATCATATGACAGCCTGATACTTTCCCAATAAGCAAAGAAGAAAATTTGGATAAAAGTTAACAAAGACACTTTCAAGATAGCCATAAGAACTACCAAGAACTATTTCACAAGTACCATGTCCTTTGACAGTTCTAAGATAGAAGCCTTATTGCTTTGATCAGCAGAAGGGTGAACAACGTTTGCATAATGCCCAGATGCAATATAGTCATAATCCAAACTGTAGATGGCGTCCATGAATGCACCTGGAAGTCACTATAAACATAAATGCAAAATGAACATAGCATGGATATAACTCCCTACCAATTTACCAAACCCAAAAAGAGCAAAAGACCTTCAACATAGATAAATGGCTAAACTTCAGCTGGATTCCATACCAAATTTTATTCTCGTATTGCAAAGAACATCAGGATTTGGAGTGCGTCCACATCGGTACTCCTCAATAATGTAGGAAACCTGAGAGAGAAGTAACTTTCATGATAAATGGAGACGATCAATAATCACTAAATTAAGTATTCTTGTAAAGTAAATCCAATTCCAAACATTCCAATAGTTAACTAGAGAGGAGCAAGTTCATAAAGACCAATGAACAAAAAACTAGATCAGACTGGCTGGTTCAACATGGAACTGGCGAGGCATTCCGTTAAGATACACATGTCATGCTGATTATGTAAAAGCCACTTAAAGCAGGAAAAATACCAAGAACCGAAAGGGGAAGGGGGGTTAAAAAAAATAGAACCAGATAATGATTCAATTTACTCTATTTGTCAAGATTTTTCAAGCCAAATTAAAATGGACTCCTAAAACTGAATCATAATATGTTAAAGATCAATCTAATCCAGTCCCAAAATTATTTGTCAAGGTTTTTCAACCCGAACCTAAATGAACTCTTAAAACTTGAACAAAATATGTTAAAGATCAACCGAATCCAATCCCAAAATCACTAAAAATATTTTTTCAAAGCTTAGGGTACCTTCTTTTCCGGTTTCTCTCTCTCTCCTGGTTTTCTAAAAGCTTCCAGCTTGTAGCTGTGCTGCTGCATCGTGTTCTCTCAACTCTTCATTTGGTTGCTATAGATTATTTCTTCCCTTATCATGCATCTTAGATTTCACATTCTTAAAGCTTTTTGATTTCATGTATCTATTCACTCACATGGTTTGATGGGTCTTTCTGCAATAAGAGTATCCAATGATGTTGTGGCTTTGTGGACTGATAGTACCTGAACTTTATGTGTATACTGAATTTTGGCAATAATATTGAGTTCTATATGTTCAAAATTTTACTGATTTTTCTTGTAGTTTCCTTTTAGTTTTTTTCATGGATTTTTTTTTAAAAAAAGTTACATTCAGGGGGTTTGTTAGTACAGCTGATTGAACTGATCAAATTGGACCAATTTTATAAAATTTTGGTAAAGACAAGATGAAAATTCCACTCAAAAGGTAAATACGTACCACATTATTCCAATATTCATCTGTTAGATGCACGACTTCTAAAGGCACCTCAACCTGAAAACCAACATGATAATACATTCAGTCAAAGTATTTACGCTGCAATGCAAACACCATGAAAAAGAAAAAACAGTTAGCCAATCATGTTAGCTTTTCCACAAAAACAAGAAGCACTACTCATGCAAGCAAAGAAATGTAAGCGGCAGTAAAGCAGATGAAAGAAGATGATAACATACGAACAGTGAGATGAGAATGAACTATTTGGATAATACATTAAAACTCAACAAAAAAATGCACGTCCAAAGATTTTTCTGAATATTTACATTCAATCCTACTCGGCCTTTCCACTATCAACCAAGATAGAATTTTTCAAAAATTAAAATAAAAAAGGGGACATCATAAGATAAAATAACCTGATCACAAACAGCCCTTGCATACTTCAAATCATCTTCCCAAGGGCATTTTGTCCAGTAGTTCTCAAAGTCTTCCTACATAAAACCAAGCATCAAAACGAACACAAATTAAGTACCATAAGAATGGGTAGCACTTCAGCTTGACTAAATATTGACGACCGAACATAAAATTTTCACCTTTTTTTAACTAAAGCTAAATTTAATTTAATTTTTGGAAAACAAAAAAAATGTACGTAACGTGTAATAACCCTTTTATGCTTGTTTATACACCGTAAAATTACTTTTTTCCCAATGCAGAACAAAGTCGCCCACCAGCAAACCAAATTATGAACACTAACAAGCCTAAACCCTAACAATTAAAAATGAAAAAACTTGTAAAAGGGGGTTACTTGGAACCAAATTTTGAGGTAGAAAGCAGTGCATGAGTGACCAGCAGCATGAAGGAGACGAAGGGCGACACTGCTATCGACGCCGCCGCTAAGCAGAACGGCCACTTTAAGGCGTTTGTGAGGCCTACAGCAAGATAGAAAGCGAGGGTCGAGTTTATCATTATTGATAGTCGCGGCAGTATTAAGTGAAGGAACAGGTTTAGGAGGAAGGGAATAAGAAGATGTTGGGAGAGTTTTGGGAAGCGAAGCAATGGAAAAGAATCTTGGTTTTGGGAAGTGAGGGTGAAGGAAATGAGATGAAGGAAGCGAGAGAATTGGCGTTAGCCTGGGTTTCAGTCTCAACATTTTGGGTGAAGTAATGAATTTGGCCATGTTTTGGAAGGGTCGAGTCCAGGGATAAGGGAAGCACCGAGGCAGGACGGAGGTTTTTTTTTTTTTTTTTAATTTTACTTTTACGTTCACTTCTAAATGGCGTTGCGCTTTGGTCATTTGATAATTCGCAAACCATTGTCCAAAGCATATGGCCCAAATCCTTAAATTTTATTTAAATATTCTCTCCATCTCATAAAAGATTATACTCTGTTGATTTTTTAAAAGTTAAATTTTTAAACTTTAATTATTATTATTTTAAATAATTAAATTTTTAAAAATATATATTTAAAAATGATTCGATTGAAGATTTTTTAAATATATTTTTATTAATAATAAACTTTAAATAATAATTAATCAAATTTTAAAAAAATGACCCAAAAAAAATAATAATGATCATTTTGTATGGGACAGAGGGAGTAATTAATATGAAAATAAGTATTTAAATTATATCATTTTTATAAATTTAGGTGTATAAATTATTTTTCGGTCAATATAGATGATTAATGTTATAAACGTTATCATTTTAGGTATTACGAGTGTAACAATCATTAAGGCTTAGTTTGTTTTCACTGTGCAACCTCTTCAAACCTCTTATATCTGCGCCGCGCAGACCACGCGCAGACATTAGGCTTCGCAGACCGTTTGATTTTTAGAAGACAGAAACCCTTCTAATGTCTGCTCGAGCTATTCTTGGCGCAGACATGGTTTTATGTCTTTAAAGGTCTTCAAACCTCTTCAAGAACAATTATAAAATATGGTTATTTATTAAAATAATTTTAAATAATTTAATAAGGTTATTTATTTTAAAATGATTTATTTTAAAATAATTTATTATAAAATAATGTATTATAAAATATGGATTGATTTATTTTAAAATAATTTATTTTAAATAATTTATTAGTATGGATTGATTTATTTTAAAATATAGATTGATTTATTATTGTAGTTGTATGGATTGATTTATTTTAAATAATTTATTAGTATGGATTGATTTATTTTAAATAATTTATTAGTATGAATTGATTTATTTTAAAATATGGATTGATTTATTATTGTAGTTGTATCGATTGATTTATTTTAAATAATTTATTAGTATGGATTGATTTATTTTAAAATATAGATTGATTTATTTTAAATAATTTATTAGTATAGATTGATTTATTTTAAAATATGGATTGATTTATTATTGTAGTTGTATGTATTGATTTATTTTAAATAATCTATTAGCATAGATAGATTTATTTTAAAATTTGGATTGATTTATTTTAAAATATAGATTGATTTATTTTAAATAATTTATTAGTATGGATTGATTTATTTTAAATAATTTATTAGTATGGATTGATTTATTTTAAATAATTTATTAGTATGAATTGATTTATTTTATAATATGGATTGATTTATTTTAAATAAGTTATTAGTATAGATTGATTTATTTTAAAATATGGATTGATTTATTTTAAACAATTTATTAGTATGGATTGATTTATTTTAAAATATGGATTGATTTATTTTAAATAATTTATTAGTATGGATTGATTTATTTTAAATAATTTATTAGTATGAATAAATTTATTTTAAAATATGAATTGATTTATTATTGTAGTTGTATGGATTGATTTATTTTAAATAATTTATTAGTATAGATTGATTTATTTTAAAATATGGATTGATTTATTATTGTAGTTGTATGGATTGATTTATTTTAAATAATTTATTAGTATGAATTGATTTATTTTAAAATATGGATTGATTTATTTTAAATAATTTATTATTGTAGTTGTATGGATTATTTAAATTTCAGTATTGTAAAACTAAAATTATTTAAATCTCAGTATTGTAAAACTCTTTTAAGTTTAAAAAATCAGTTTATTTATATTTCAGTTCATTTTAGCAGTCTGCAGACGTTAAAAAACAAATAGTCTTCTTGCAGACTGTAGACTTTTGGTCTACCTCTTCTGCTGCAGATGCCTGCAGATGTGGTCCGCAGACTGCAGACCTTTTACCTCTGCAAAAACAAACACCACCTAAATAATCTCTTTAAGTGACATGCGTCGTATTCCGATAATTTTAAAAAAAAAACTTAAAAATAAATTATTCTATTAAAAATTTTAAGAAAAAAACCCTCCCTCTCCTTCATTTTTCTTTGGCCTTTGCAACTCTCCTTTTAATCTCAGTAATTTTGGCACACTTTATTTTTTATTTTTTTTATTCTTTAAAATAGAGGAGTTGGAGAAGAAATGTTGTTGTCGCTGTTGCTCTCTTGCTAATTTAAGGGGAGGGAGAGATATCGTGCTCTCTTGCTGGCGTAAAGGAGAGGGGAAGATGTCACCGACATCGTTGCTCTCTTGCTGGTTTAAGGGAGAGGGTGACAAGAGGCGATGGACGAAGCTATGGGGAATTTTTTTTAAAAATATAATAATTTATTTTAAAGTTTTTTTTAAATAAAATCTTAGAAATTATCAGAATACAACACATGTCACTTAACGAAATTTTTTAATGTTCGTTACGGTTGGGGCACTTTAAATAGTAATGTTCTAATGTTAGACACTTAAACTGACCGAAAAATAGTTTAAGCACCTAAATGAGAAAATTTGTATAGTATAGACACTTATTCTATATTAAGCCTTATTTAAATCAATATAATTTTTAAATTATGCTTTTTGGATAATAATACACATTTTTATGTGAATATATTAATTTTTTTTATAAATTACTAATTTAAAATTATTATATATGATGAGATTTATACATTTAACATTTTAAAATTGTATTAAATTTTATATCATCCATTAACATTCTCTCTCTATATATTTTTTAAATTTACTTATTTCTAGTTCAAAAATGAATCTTTAGTTATAATACCAAGCCTAATAATAAGACATTTAGAAAATCCTAATTTGTTTCTATTGTTTTTGCGCCGTTCGCATGCTCTCTCTCTTTTTTTTATCTTTGCTAATATACGGTGACACTAGTCTTAGGGCGGTTGTCGGCGGCCGATTTTATTTTTCTTTTTATATATATTTTAGTTATTAATAGTTTTGCCTTTATCCTATGTTTTTATAGCACATTTTTTTGGTATGTTTTTTGATTTTTTATCAGTCATTTGATTGTTCTTTTTGTTTAATTTTAAGGGTTATATTTGACATCGTCTCGACTGATTAAGATGTAACTTATTTATTATCCTGCTGATCTATCATGCTTTAAACTTTTAGAATTGGATTTGAATACACGATTTGTATTCGAAGACAATTTTCTTACGAAGCTCGACTCTGATTTACGATTATCGGTGGTCTTTCAATAATTTTATCCCATGTTGTGGTTTGTTTGCCGATGTAGTCAGATATGTTGTATCAATCTTTTGTTCGAGTTTTTTTGTATGGGTTTGTAACTTTTTCTAGTATAGTCATTGTTTGATCTCAAGTGACTAATTTATTTTATAATAGTTATAGAAAAATATCCTAATTATGTATTTAATATTCTCTTATGGTTGTAAGCCTTTCATTATATAAAAAAATATTAAGACATATAGAAGCCCTAATATTAGTTGAACAAAGAAGAAGCCCTAATATTAACTGTCAACTACCTCCGTTTTCCTAAATATTAATCGTTATTTCATATTTTAATCCACTACTTAATTCTTCTATAAACATCAACTCAACCTCAGCCTTTGATCATTGTTTTAAACAAATCAAGATTACGTTTGCTTACTCTAATATTTTCCACTATACTAATCAGATAATCAACGGTCAACGGGGAAGCAGATTATATTATTTTTGGTGGAGAGTATGGACACCACCTTCTTGCATTTCATTTTCGTATGATTTAACCCTTGTTTTAGGAAAGGGTTTTGATACCTCAAGTAGGGAACATGTTCTCCACATGATAAGGCAACTCTAGCGTGTGTATTTCAGTGGCTGGCTCGTGGAATCCATGCATCTGCCCCTTTCGTCATTCTCAATAATTTAAGATCAAGTAGAAGGAAATATATATACCAAAAACTTAATACATGGGAAAAGCCTGTCGTCGCTAGTTTATGGATAAGTCTCAATTTCCCTATTTATATATATACATATGATTATTTCACTTTCTCAAGAAAGTTGGCAAGAAATTATACCTATCCAATATGTGTGCATTAACTCCGTTTCCGACGCCAAACTGGCCGGTCAATTCCATTGGCTACCAACATAACTACATATATGAAAGCAGTGGATGTTTAGAATGCTTCTTTCAATCTCCTCCACCACAAGAAGAAATTCCACTTGATTCTCAATCTCCTCCATCTTTCACCCAAACCAGTAATTTTGACCCTTGCATGGTCAAGAAACTTAACCACAACGCCAGCGAACGCGACCGGAGGAAGAAGGTTAACAGTATGTATTCAGCCCTCCGTTCATTGATCCCGGAAGCAGATCAAACGGTACTAATTAATCACATCGTATATGCTTCCGTTTCATCATTACAATCTGCAACTAATTTTGTTTCTTTTGTTTGCAAACAGAAGAAGTTAAGCTTTCCGACCACAGTTTCTCATGCACTGAATACCTGAACTGCAAGAACAAGTGGAGAGATTGGTTCTGAAAAGGGAAGAGCTTATGTTAAGGGTATCGAAGCAGGGCGGTGGTAAACGTAGAGATCAAGAAAAACAGCAAATGAAAAGCATGCCCAAGGGAAGATGTTTAAGTGGATCGGTTGCTGTTTCTATGAATAGGGTCAGTGATAGTGAAGTTTCGGTTCAAATATCAGGGCGGGAAGTTGACAACAGAAGCCAATTATCTGTGTCTGAGATGTTGCATTACTTGGAGCAACAAGGTTTCCTCCTACTAAATGCTTCTTCATTCGAGTCGTTTGGAGGATTTGTGTTCTACAATATTCACCTTCAGGTACCCATATCTATAACTTCATCATGTATATAGCTCATAATTATTCTGGAAATATAGCATGAATATACAGGAGTTTATGTCTAATTTTCTAGTATTGTGGATTTTGCAGATGGAATCGAAAACAGTCTGCAAGGTGGGATCAGAAGAGGCATTGAGTGAGAAAATTTTAGCACTGTGTGATAATAGGGAACACTTGGGACTCTAAAAGCTAATTATCTTGGTTTATGGTAATAATTAAAGGGCATGATCGATCGATGTTGTAGTTATGTTATGGAAGAACTGAACGTCTTTCTGCACTGATTACTCAGACTCCGAGCCGGATTTCGTCCGATAAGTAAACTAAACAATAAACAAGTTTAATCCCAGAGAATATCTTGATGAAATAATTAGGCTTTGTTTGCAAGTTGTGAAGAATGAGAAAGGGAATATAAAAATTCCACGCATCCGACAAATAATAAATTGTTGCAAGTTGTAACCATCGATGTCAATAAAGAGACATCAACATCGAGATGTTCTTACAAGAGCATAGTAGTGTTGGATATCAAGAACAACAATACTCCCGTCCTTGTTACATTAACATATTCTTTATTTATATAAACAGAGATAATAAATATGCATTAAAATAAATATAAAATAGTAATTCATCTATTTCAAAGAATGGGGGAAAACAGATTCATTATTGTATAGTGTTGGATGCAGAACAGCTGATTAGAAATGGAATCATCGAAAATAGTTTGAAGTACAGTGAAGAAGTTTCGACCTTTTTAAAGCCTTTTTGAGGAGGTTTGAATCAATAGGAAAAACTGAGTTTTCTGGTCTGGCTGAAGATATGAGCGCATACTGTGGATCGCCATGGCATGTGTGGAATGCGACCTTGAAAAAGGTCGAAACTTATACAAACTGCTTTCGCGTTTATTCGAGATATCTAGACCATCTTGTTAAGTGCATGAACTCGTGTTGGTGTTAATTTAGTTGGTTTATAATCACCTTTTAGAAAAGGCATCTAACAAATTTGAAGTTCCGATACAACATTTGCCAAAGAAGAAAAGTTGAATGCACAAGTTTAAATCACATCAAGCAATCTCAGCTTCCATTAGAACCATCTGAAATGAGGGGTTGTATTATATACAACATTCACTTGGGACCATACAATTAACGTGTTGATTTTGCAGAGAGGATGCCTAATGCCTAGTGCTAATAAAAGAGAAGAAGAAGAAGAAGAAGAAGAAAAATCAGATAGAATAGGGTCCCTCAGCCAATCTTCTCTGTGTTTGTATCATCGGAGGGCCAAACCACAGTCTCCATGAGCCGCTCGCGCATCAGCTGCAAGTTCTCGTCTGAAATCTCTTTGTATATTTCAGCATGATCACATTTCTATACCAACACAACACAGGGTTACAACATATGCATATATTGAATTTGTTAAAGTAAAAAACCTTTATATATGCTAAGAGATTTTTCATTACCTTAATCCATTTCCCATACAAATGAAGCCTTGTTATCATCACTCTTTCAGCAAGCTCTTGCCTCTCCTGTCATTGCCAAAGATAATAACCTCATTTCTCCTCTTCTTTTTATATACTTTATATCAAATTCACAGTTCTACATGAGGTTAGCTGGTTCATATAATCATGTTATAATTGTAATTGATTTGTTCTTATTGTCCAGAAAAGAAGTGAAAAGTTTCTTAGCCTAGAATTTTTGGTGGAAAAAAAACAGTAAGCAGAAAAGACTGTTTAAAATCACCTTGCCAAGGATGCGTAAGAAACGCTTGCCATCACTGGGCTTATTTGCTGCTGTAAACCTGCCAAAATCACAACAGTTAAAGTTCACATCTTTCTGGGCATCCCCATTAGAAAGCAACAGAGTAATCAGAAACAGAACAAACAAGAATATATTTGTACAGAACACGGGCCACCAGATATGCTACTTACTGATAGAACCATGTATATTGCGGTGGATTCAACTAATAGAGCTGATTCAGCACAGTCCTCACTTCTTTGTTCGTAAAATAGTTGAGTAATTGCTGCAAAAAGAAAAATCAACCACCAAAGCAACATATGCCTATTTAGAACTTACATGATCGCAAGGGCTAACACATGAGCTTATCTTCCTACATGAAGTAGGTCAGTACCATGTTACTGCAGATTGCAGAAAACTTTTGTTCTGTAAGTAAACAGCATCTTACCGTTTTAACATCCCCAAAAGTATCTTCAGTCCTCCTAAATTGTCGACAACCACGAGTTTTCGGTCCTTACGCTGCTTCCTTAAACTCTTGTTCACGACACCTGGAATCATCTTGTAAGACAACCTCGAATCATGCCATTAATTTACAAAAGAGCTGCCCAAGTCCAGAGACCGTGGTTTTGGTACCGCGTGCTTTCTTTTGATTGAAAACGTCCTTTGCATAAGCAACTCCCACCAGTTTTGAGGCTCATGTTGGTGGACGGTAATGCATCCAAGCACAAGCATGGACCTGTTTCAGAGTCCATAACTGATGAACCCACCACAGATAAAGATCCCACCATCTTTTCCTTTTTCTTGGTGACTTGAGCTCTCAAACTAACAACCGTTGGATGCTTTCAAAACACCTCCTGATCAAGGTTTATTGCTTTGGTTTTTCTTGGTATTAACTGGAAACCCGAGAAAAACAAAGGATTATACCAACTAAAAAGAATGAAGAGTATGATATAGTTGGTTGGTAACTTGGTATCCAAGAAATTGGGGGGGGGGGGTTGAGGATGGGAAGTCAAAGAGAAATTAAAGGAAAAAAGGATTTTTTTTTTTTTTGCTGCAAAGGGAACGTGTGAAGAATGAGGTGGTTTTGAAAAGGTAGGTGAAGCTTAACCCGACAAAGATTTTGAGGTCCGAAATTGTCCAACCCGAAGTGGTTAGAGAAAAAGACCAATAAGGTTTTAAGACGCAAAATCAAAGATGGCTTAGCTTGCATGTGTTTGATTAGGGGCTCCAACAAGTAACAACCACCTGGACGGTTGCCTAGATTTGGTGGGTCTGTTTGTTATTTGCCACTTGTTTGAATCTCATGAATTTTGCTGTATAAACGTGTTAAATTCATCAGATGACTTCTATCTTCTTCGTTTCAACTTTCACGCCATGCGGCTGGACGATAGGTGTATGTTACGTTTATAATTCTTCCAAGAGTTCAAAACAGCTATGCATTTGAAATTAATTTGTTTTCATATTTGACCCTAAACTATGAAACGGGCCAAATCAACGAGACATTGGCAACATAAAGTATATGAATGAGCTTAATAAATTTTGGAACAGGCCCATCCGGCCCATGAAGCTTTTTTTTTGGTTCTTTAATACTGCTTAGGGCATCGGTCACACCCTGCCCAAAGCTTCACCAAATCAAATATTAACACCCCATAATAACTATCTCAAAATTCGCTCCTCTCTCTCTCTCTCTCTCTCTCTCTCTCTCTCTCTCTATAGGATTTTGATTCTATCTGTTCATCTTATTTAACTTAGTCGCTTTCTTGTTATTTGGTTTTGAATCCTTTTGGTTCTTTTCCTGGAAAAAACAACTTCGTAAAGTTTGGCTTCTATCCATTCCCTGCAACTCAACAACCATACTCCACCATGATGTTTTTCTTGGGTGGTTTCATGACAATTTGATTAGTTTTCTTGCTCTGTGTTTTTTTTTAACTTCATAATCCACTTTCAATGGCACCAAGCAGCGGAAGAGGCAAAACAACGAGAAAAGCAAGCAAGCCCAGAAGAAGCAGTTACACGAAGAAGCTTGTAAAGCCCAACAAAATTAATACTCAAACGACATCACCAGTGTCGGAGGATTTGCGTTCCGAGATGGATGGATTGGATCATAATGGAGTTGATGATATCGCTAATGCAAGTCCATGCTCCACACCAAAAGCACAAAGGTTTCGGATACCAGAGATCGACACATGCCCTCCGGCACCGAAGAAGCAAAGATCACTTCCCTCAAATTGCTCATTGCGAAGAACTCCTATTGCTTTCTTTGCTCCTCCAGATATAGAGCTCTTCTTCGTCTGTGCATTTAGAGACATCTCAGTCTGATGATAAGTTCTAGCTTTTGCATAAAAATATGAATATCATTCTTCTGTTTGTTTTTCTCATAGTTTTAGGATTTTAGTAGGTATCTTTGAAACCTATAGTGTGAGACGTGAAGAGTACTGCTTTGAAACCTATAGAGTGAGTTTAGAAGAAGACGAAGGCCGGTAGCATTGGCTACTTTTTTATTGGGGGTGCTGCTAAATAATTTTAATAAGTTGAGTTTCAAATTTGTAGGGTACAGTAATCGCAAATTTAGCTTTAATTCCTACTTTTATTTTTCAAAAGTAATGTTGATGACTTTTGAAGTTTAAGGGTGCAATTTGAAGTATGTAAGTGTGATTTTTGTTTTGTTTATCAGACTAAGAAAATGAAAAAAAAATAGATGCTTCGTCCTGTGCAAATATCTTGTTTCTCCATTGTTCATGATATTAACTAAGGTATCCTGGGTTTTGGAGTACCCTGACACCCAATTTTTTGGAAGCACTATTGATAATGTGGTAAGAACAGGTAAAATAGAAGAGATAAAGAGAGTTGATTAATGGGTAAGTTGGTGTCATTTGTCGGATTGGTATGTAAAACAAATACAAGGAAAAGACTTTTGTATAAAAGGTATTCCCACGTATGTTGCTTTACTTTTGGGAGTGAAGAGTGGAGACTGGCACCAGCTGACCTCAGAGATTATATTAAAATAATGATGTGCCCTTTGAAAAATATCATCAACTTGGCTGCTCAACAGTATAAATTAATTTATTTTTCCCCCCGACGGTTGCGATGGGTTAATCTGAGCTCAGCCCTGCGGTGGTAGGAGAATCCTAGGAAGAGACTCGTGCGCTCTGTCGCCTACCATGCGCCGTGTTGTTATTCATCCAAATTGTTCCAAAATACGAAACAAGTATAGCAAAATGAGACAAAAAAATTGGAGTGAAAATGAATATAATTGAAAGATTAAATTATAAATTAAATCTAATTACTTTCTATATATTTGAAGCTATCATTATATATATATATATATATATATGTATATATATATATATATGTATATATACAATCACTATAATTTATAAGTACATTAATAAATAAAAAATTAACTAGATTGAAAAATAATTGTTTAAATGTTTTAAAAGAATATAAAGATAATATAAAATCTTACCTTTTGTGTGTATAATGAGTGAAAAAGAGGACCTTGGGATGAGGGATATTAATTAAAACGAACAGTTGATAAAATTAGTTTAATACCCATATCATTTATTAATCATTTTATAAATTATTTTAATTATTTTAATGATTATTTTAGTCAATAATCCCTAGTCTGTGATTAAAAGCTCTTAATATGTTATGAGTTTAATACCCTTTAAGAATTAAATTTCCTTTCTTCCTCCCCTTAATAGAAATTGTTAAAAAATAATTATTTTATTAAAGTTAAAAAATAAAACATATATTATCGTAAGACCGTATTAGAATATAATATATATATATATATATAAATATAATATTAACATAGATTTAGGTGATTCTTTCCTTTTTAGATTACCTTCAAATATTTAAAATTGTTATCTAATAAATAAGTAAAAGAAACATTTTGCTTAAGAAATATAATATATATATACATATATATTATATGATTTGATATTTTTCATTTTAACCTCTTAAGTCCGGCAAAACTTTCGAGATAATGTTCTGGAAAAAATTAATTCACGAGATAAAGCACTCCCAAGATTAATTGCTCAAATAAGGTGAAATCCACAGTGTTGGCCGTAGGTTGCCATGCCTTTCGGGCGACCTACTAGGTCGCCATGTCTTCCCGGCGAGCTACAAGAGATTGCATGTGACATGCACGTCCCAACACGCTGGGCATCAGAGGCCATCCGAGAGCATCTGAGGCCATCCGAGAGCATCCGAGGCCATCCGAGAGCATATGAGACCATCCGAACGAGCTATGCGAGGGCATCCGAGGGTAACCGAGCGAGCTATGCAAGGGAATCCGAGGGCAGCCGAGCGAGGGTAGGTCGCCCGGAGTACATGGCGACCTACAAGGTCGCCCGGAGTGCATAGCGACCTACAAGGTCGCCCGGAGGACATGGCGACCTATGTGTTGGGACGTGCATGTGCCATGCAACACGTTCATTCTCTCTGTTTGAGCAAGGGTAGGTCGCCCGGAGTGCATGGCGACCTATAAGGTCGCCCGGAAGGTATGACGACCTACTGCCAACACTGTGGATTTTACCCTATTTGAGCAATTAATCTTGAGAGTGCATTAGCTCATGAATTAATTTCTTCCAGAACATTATCTCGAAAGTTTTGCCCCTAAGTCCTAATAATAAGTGTTTCACTTTGAGTTTGCTTAGTGAGAGGGTATCCTAGGTTTTGGTAAAAAGACAGATGATGTGAACTGGTTTAAGAATCAAACAAGCGTTGATTGACAGATAGAGTTGGGGCCTATAGAATCTGGAGGGCGTGTGCGCTTTAGCAAAACATACACTGTGTTGGGCTTTCTATATTTTCAAATAATTCTAACTCGTTTTTGTTCCGTCTTAAAATTATGATGTGTTTGTTTTATGGAAAGTGTTATATATATATATATATATATATTTATTTTTTGGCATTTGATTAAAATGAATTAATAATTAAATTTATTATAAATAATAATATATATTTATCTGTAAAATATGAGTAAATTTTATTTTCAGTTACTCATATATTAGTGATATTCTGTCTTGGTCATTCAATTATTATTATTTTCAAAAATATACCTAACATTCTTAACATTTATATTGATATGTCACTATAAGATAATATCACATCATTATTAAAAAAATAAAAAAAATATTACATCATCAATTATGTTTATTTTTTAATGGCATGTGACTAAATACATAGTTTATCTTCAAATAATTTATCATATCTTTTTCTAGTCCGTTCATTATTTTTTCCAATTAACTTACATCATAAATTTAAGAGAAAATGAAATAATTTTGAATGGTATAAATAAGTTAATAATATTTTGTTCTTTCCGAAATTTAGGAGAGAAAATAATTAATTTACAATGATATAAATAAATTAGAAATTCTTTTTATAGCCCATATTATTGTAAATCCATTCATGCGAATAAGAAGCAGCCGGTCTTGAGCAAAATCAACTGGATTTCTTTTAACTGATTAAGGATTTACTACTGATCTTTGTCTTCTTTGCAAATGCATGCATGTCAAGGATATTCTTTGGAAAATAAATTATTAGGTCGACCGACTACTTTGAAAAGGCTTAAACTTTAAAGCAAGTATATACGTATCTCAAGACTTTGAAGCCAACAACAGAATTATCTCAGACATCTTCTTTATTAGTTGTACTGCTAAAGGATCAACCGTGAAAAAGCTTCCCCCTGCATGCATGTCAATTGTCAAGCTTCAGATTTCTTAAAATATTTGGAAAACGAATGAAATATATGTAAATATCAGATTCAAGGAAAAGCCAAATTCATTACCAGACCAGATGATTCTTCTGGAAAATTTGTGGCAGCTTTTATCCAACTTTGCTTTGGCCATTGCAGTATATCCAAACCAAAAGAAAATCAAAGATGGGTTGGGAAGCGCTCGCCCATACTCTTTCAAAATAATATATATAAAAAAAAAGCAAATTGCTTTGGCTTTTTAGACTGCTGCAGGAGTTCCAGTACTATTGTGCACTTCAATAATCTCATAAGGTGAAAACTCTTCATATAAGCTTTACATTAGAGTGGATATTTTTAATAATAGTAATTGATCTAATCATTTATTACATCATGTACTAATTCAGATTAAGCAATATTAACAATAACACGATTTTCCTTGGAGCATATTCTGTTGTTTCTCTTATGCTCTTCGTCTGAACCAGAGAAAAAGAAATACTTTCTCTTCGTTTCCTTCACCTTAATTTGTAAGACATCCTTTGTTAAAAGATTAATTAACCCTTCTTGACATCTCATCTTCAAAATAATCTTTCAGAGAAGGAGGGCTGAGCTTTTAGAGATCAATGTGTTTTTATTTTTTTTAAAGAAAAACTTTGGGCCACAGATGCCCTTTGTTGAACAGATTCTCGCGAGAGAATAAAGTATAAATTTGTCTGGAAATGAAAAAGTTTAAGTTCTTATAAAACAGAAAAATAATACAATACAAAAAAATCATGCAAGGTGGATTGTTGATGTACAACGTGCTTGGGAACATTGTGAGCATGTTCTCCTTGATTTATACATCTAAGGAAGTTTACGAAAGCTAAAATGTGTGCGTATGTATTGTGTAAAATTTACGTAGTGTTTCTGTAGAATGGTGATTTCTGATCTTCGGCAGGTGTTATTTTTTATGAATGTATGTGCTTATTCATTCCTTGACTTAATCTTTCTTCATCTTAAGATATTAAGCAAGATGAGCAAAGTTTGATGAATGTTCTCTTTATTATTTAATCTTCCTACTGTATATTCTCTTCTTTTTCATATCCTCCATAGCTGAATTTTAAGGGAAAGAAACAACTTTCTTTTCTTTTCCTTCTTCTTTCATTTCATTTTTCTGGCCGTTAAAAATCATTCAAAGATGGAAAAGCATTGATTCTATTGTCATCGTAGAATAATAAAGTTAAGAGTGTCGGTAAGATCGTAATATTACCTTTGGTCCACAATTCCCCTTTGTTGAACATTCTTTAATATGGAGATAAAGTAATGTGGGTATACAAAACTTTGAAGAAATGTGAGCTTAAATATTGGTGATATATATGTATAGTATCAAATTATGATATAAGGTAGTATAACAGTCACATCGTAACGGTTTTTAAAATCATTATGACAGAATTAGATTAATAATTTAGAAATAATTGAAATTTTAAGAAACAATCGCGTCTACGATAACCGTTATGCATTATGTAACATTCATAACTACAATATCGTAACCGTATATGCAATGATTATTGCACTAACAATTTAGTACTATGTGTAATTGTGTATGTATACTAAATAAATGTGCGATCAGCTCTAAACGCGGGAGGTATATCCAGAAATATTCCACCATGGAATTTGTTTTGGTTGATCAAAAGCTTGGCTGATTCCTTGCATAATCTTTCTGCTGAAATCTTTGGTATTATTGCATATTCTGTTCTCTCTCTTCATTCTCCAACCCTACTTTGTTTTCTTTTATTTGCAGCTTTGTTTTTCTAGTGTCTGCAACAAGGGAAGACAGTGTAGTGGTGAGTAATTAATTAAAAAGAAACAATTCCAAGTCATGCATGTATATATATGTATCTTTATTAATGTAAGAGAAAGAAGAAATGGATGAATGCTGTCTTTTTAAATATCAGAAATTTATGTTGCTGCCGCTTGGTCCACTGATTTCACCCTTTACTCTCCTTGTTGTACTTTAGTTCTTTCATGTACTTGTTATCCTCAAAATGGAACTGCATCGAAAAGCCTTAAATCAAGAACCACATTATTTATTAATATTTAATGTAATTTCAATGTTTAAATTACATGACACCACTAACTAATATTGTGTAACAAAACTTTGAATCTCAATCTCATGGTAATTATAATTTTGATTTTAGCTTATAAAAGAGAATATTTGATAACATTTTCTTTCATTCGATCAACTGATACGCGATTCTTTTAACTTAATCGAGGTTTTGTGTTTGAGATCTTGAGAATTAGGGGCCGAGTAAAAAAATAATAATAATGATTTGAGGTGTCAAAATTTAAAAATTATATGAGTTTTTTAAAAGTGGGTGAGAACAAATAATGTGGGTCAATTTACTTTTAAGGGATGTCGTATTCTTTTTAAAATATATTAATATTGTTTTTAATGTTTTTATATTAAATTTATAAAAAGGATTAAAAAGTTGTGGGATGTCATGTGACCTTACAATAGATAAATGTTCCTCTCCGTCCATGTTAAGAACACAACGATATTGAATATTTGATGGAAGAATTTTATATCTTTATAACGGTACATGAATCGATAAAATTATCTTTATTTAGACCATTCAACATTCAAAGAAATCGTAATTCTCACCAAATCAATCTCTTTAATGATTTTCTGTCTTATTATTAAGATTTAGAAACATGATATGGTTCCTTATGATTAAGTAGCTTGTCCAAAATAGCAGAGGCCCAGACCCAATCAATCCATATCCAGACTCGTAATTCAACATGTTTATTAATTAAACGGAAAAGCGTATCAGTGGGACCAATATCTGACATTATTGCATCTTATCCGACATTGGAATGTTGCCTGTGACATGCACATGCTTGCGTGGATTAAGATTCTACCTGCTTAATTTCCAACATCTATCCAAGTTTATTAGTTTGGGTTTCGAAAAAGAAAAGAAAACAATAGCAACTGACGACCCATTAAGTTGTAGAAGCCCCATTAACTTCAGACAGCAGCCCCTGCTTCCTTTAAGCTTTCCTTTTCTTTCAACCAATTCAAAATCACCCGACCTTGAGTTGAGCCGTAAGCTATAAATCTAATCACTCCTAAGTTATAGGGTAAATTAGATCAAATTCTACTAAATTTTAGGGTTTATATTAATTTTATCATTGAACTTTTAAATTGATTGGACTACATGATCAAACTTTAATTTTTTACATCAATTATAGCATTGGATCGATAATCTGTTAACAACGGGATGATGTTGTAGTTTAGTGTTGACATGGAAACCAAAAAATTAATTTTTTTTATTTCAACTCATAATATTCCCCATTAAAGTTGCAATTTTTTTGATTTATTTCTACGTTATCGTGTCATTAAATTTTGATTGTTCAGTGATATAATTGAAGTTTGAATTAAAATTTAATGTTATAATTAAAATATTTAAAGATTCAGTAATATAAACATACAAAATCTAAAATTCAATAGTATTTGATATAATTTATTCTTAAAAATTTGAGGATTTTATACACTATCATAAAAATGATCCTATCCTAAATTTCATTTTCCAATAAAAAAAAGTAAATTAAGGCGTAAATAAAAATAAAAAGTAGCGACGAGATTGAAGCCGTCCACGCGTCAATAGAAAGAGCGGGTGTATAAAACCTGGAATCGTAACGGTGGGTGACGTAATCAAAGCTCAACTCTCACATTTGGAAAAATAAGCAAAGCTGTTCCCTTGAGCCTTCACTATTTGTTTACTTAGAATTGCAGAGAAACTGGATTGACTCTCTCTCTCTCACAACAAAAATCCCCAAAATTTAGGTTTTTGGTTTCGTTATTCTCGGTTATCCGGTAAATGTATTTTTCAATAGCTTTTTTTTTATCGATTTATCCTTCTGGTTGCCTTCGGTTCTTTCTTTCTTGCTTTCTATTATCTTGGAATTGCAAATTGTTGTCTTTTTAAGGATTTTCGATTTTTTGTTTTAGATTTGAATTGTTTCAGAGTTTGTATTTTTTGGGGGGAGAATTTGATATTGGGGTTTATAAAATTTAAGAGCGCTTGGTTGTTGATTTTGATGAATTATCTTTATGTGGGAATTTTGGGTTTTGTGGAACAACTAGAAGTGGGGTTTTCTGTTTGAATATTTTTTTTATTACATGCAGAACAGGGAATAAGAGCTTTGAATTATTCTTGAAAGAATCATTAGTGAAAAATACTAAGCTTAGAGGTAGCTTTTGAGAGACCGAGGAAAGAACTTTGTTGGGACTTAAAAAAACGATTTTTAGATTTTTAACATTTTAGGAAAGGTTTGTATGCTTGGTAATTGGTATATTTTAAGATAATTGACGAGTTTGAATTTAATTACTTTCTCGGCTGACTTTCAAAAAATACAACCATCTTTTCTCTTTAGTTTGGAGCTGGTTTTGGGAAGGTTCCTCCCCCCCCCCCCGGTCTGGGTTTCTAGATTATGAAAAAAAATTCACTGTAGTATCTTACTATTTGGTCAGCAAGAATAATTTGTTTTGTATTTTCTATTAAGTTAAAAGGTCCTCGTGATTGTATTTTTGAATTATGTTAATTTCTCTTCAATTCCTAAGCTGACAATATGATATTAACTATTATTTGAGTGTAATAGGAGGAATGCAATCAAAGTCTGAAGGTGGAAGGCGATTAGAACCTGATCTGCACGGTGTTCCTCCAACTACATTTTATTCTGAACCTTGGTGGCGTAGTAATGGTTATGGTGCCATCTCTCCAAGAGTGGGAGGAGGAAATGCCTCAAATTCATCTTCAAGGGAATGCCCTAATGGTTCAGAGTCAAATGACAGCCAGATGCTGTCCAATGGTGGGGTAAACAAAGAGGATGATGTTAATAAAGGAACACAGACTACTATATCCTCCCGATCAGGTACTCCACTTCATTATTCCAGTAATACCTGTGGGCAATAACTACTAAAACGTCACATGTATGACACACTCTTGTGGAGGTTGCTGATGGGCCATATTGTTCATTGTTTCACGACTGTCAAGACCGTTCATGGATCTGTAGATTATTCAAATTAGATATGCACCTGGGTTCTTTTCTGTTCAGTACTATTTTGTGTAAGCTTTAGGGTCCTTTCAAATGTGTTGGGAGTATTCAATGGACATATCTGGTGGTATAGTTTAACATGTTGTATCCAGAAGCCACGAAAACTTGTGTTTGACCCATTCTCAAAGCTTACCTGGAAACCGGGAATAATTAAGAAACCTAGTTCAAGACATTTGGCCTCTCCTGATGGGTATAACTAGATAACCGAAGCTGTGGTAATTACATTTTCCATGCACAGTGGAGATTTAGTTGCCATAGCATGTTGGTTATTTGCTGGTTCTTACATATTATTCTTTCATCCTACAGATTTTTGGCTTTGGTGGTAATGCATTTTTGCTCTCTTCATTTTCAGTTAGAAATGGTGGACAAGACCATCACAATTTGCAACATGTTGCATCTACCATGCCTGCTATGCATGACAAACACTTCACACAACCTCCTCAGCTTGAGCTTGTCAGCCATTCAATAGTAAGTGCATCAGGCTCTCGATTTTCTGGCACATACAATTAGAGGTCTCATAGTTACAGAACTTGCTGTGGAAGAATTCCTAGCTTTCTTTCAATCTTTTTGCAGGCATGTGCACCAAATCCTTATCAAGATCCATTTTATGGAGGGATGATGGCTGCTTATGGACATTACCCTTTGGTATGGAACCCTGGTTTGTTTGATATATGTAGTCAATTCACTATGCTTTCTTTTATTATAATTTGATTGTTCTATTTAACTTTCATATGGAAGCTGCTATGCTCGTAGATTTTTTCCTTAAATGTTTTTTTTAAGTTTTTTCCGCCTGTTATGCTACATAAAGTCATAAACACAGATGGATTCAGAAGGACATGGATATATGCATACACACATGCATGTGTGCAAAGACACAACATAGTAGTTATGCAGTCATTAGTTGGAATGAACCTGGCATTTGACCTCTCCTGGGGCTAGCATAAGGATTCATATGTATTCATATTGGGGGTTTTAGATACTGGAAAGCGCCTTAAAGAAACTCCAAAAGTTGAGTGATTTTATTTTCCCCCTTTTAACTAATAGAACTTAAGGAACCCTGATAAATATGATTTCTTACCCTTTGAAGGGGTAGTTTACACCATTGATTTATATGAGCAAACCCATTGTTTCTTGACAATTCTGTGCTTGGCAAAATGTCTCATGTTTTATGCTTAATGCTCTGCTTGTTCTAGCTGGGTTTAAATGTTTCAATGCTAGGTTTTATTTTTTCATTTACACCTATCTTCAAACCAACTCTACTACCTGGGCTAGACAATGCAAGTATTAGAAAAAGGACGAAAACTAAATGAAAACTTTATCATGTTTGAAGTTCCCTACTAGGTAGTTGGAAACCTATATTTGGTCCTAAATCTTGTTCTCCTTAGTCTTTATCTAGGTGGCCAGTACTGTAGGACAGTATCTTCGGAGACATTGCTGATTAGATGAACAGAGAAACATGCTTTTGAATTTCAAGTTCCTTCCAATTCTTTATGGTTAGTGAATCATTGCTCCGTGATACTGACGTTTTAAGTTTCCAATTACGGAAGATAAAAGGTGGTTGGTGAACATTGAAAAATGGTTACTTAATGAACAATGTCTGTCATGTTTTACATGTTAGTTTGAAATGATATTGTTTCCTTGTTTTGTAAGTGGGTTGTTTCTTTCTATCCTTTGCTTTGCCTTTTCCCCTTCTTTTTTCTTTCCTTTTGTGTGGTGTTGCTATTTAGGCTATTCACGTGGGAGACAGGGTAAAAGGGTTTGTTTGCCTGTTTTGGTAAGTGGTTTGTTTCTTTCCATCCTTTGTTTTGCCTTTTTTCCCCCTCTTTATCTTTCTTTCGTGTGGTATTAATATTTAGGGGATTCACATGGGATGCAAGGTAAAAGGGGAACCTGATTGGGCCTTTGATTTTATGTATGTTAGCAGGCATCAGTCGCATGTTCTGTTACCACCTTTTTTAATAAATAATGTGATGGAAATCTCTATAAGCTAGATCACTCATTTTGGTGAGATTCTTTGATTAAGAACCTTCTTTTCATACTCGACAATTGAAACATGGTATACTTCCCGAGGAATAAATGTTTGAATTGACCAGGGTTATCCTCCATTTGTTGGAATGCCTCATGCCAGAATGGCTTTGCCAATTGAGAAGGCACAAGAACCTGTTTACGTGAATGCCAAGCAGTACCAAGGAATTCTAAGGCGAAGGCAGGCACGTGCCAAAGCAGAACTTGAGAAGAAGGATATAAAAGTCCGAAAGGTTGATATATATTTGCATACTGCTTCACTTGGACAATCTATGCACTTCAACAGGAGATCTTCAAATAATTTATTCCTGTCGATGCCCCACATTGAATTACATGATAATTAGAGTTTGAATGGCAACTTAGTGAGACACATGTTATCTTTATTTTTATTTATCTTTAGTGCTACCTCTATCCTTACAATCCCTGGTCTCCAATATCCTACAGCCATATCTTCATGAATCTAGGCACCAGCATGCTATGCGCAGGGTGAGGGGTAGTGGAGGGCGTTTTGCAAGGAAGACAGATGCTGATTCTTCAAAACAGATGGCAGAAGAGAAAGGAACAGGTTCAGGTCATGCTCTGTCATCTCAATCTGCTAGTTCATCTGGTTCTGAACCATTTCCGGCTGATTTTGTGGCAACCTGGAACTCCACCCTCAGCCAGCAGGAAGCAAGAGGATCCCATAAGCATGACACCCGTCATATCAACAGCAGTGTTCATTATCAGAAACGAGTTGGTAGCATCTCCTCCAACCAGGCCTCGCATAGGCCTCTTGCTATTCAGTGAATTGGGGAACGCCCTTTCAGAAGCTGAAGGGTTAACTCTAAGACTATTGTCCATGATCTCATCTTGACACTTAATTGTAAAGGCGGCAAATCATTCTTGGCTTTCCTATTTGCTATCAGGTCATCGATGTAAGGAGAGAAGAAGAGATTGTAAGGGAATAAAACTGCTTTTTGTCCTGTCGGTGCTTTGTTTTCCCTAGTTGCATTCCTGTACAGATAGTCTTGAATAAAACTCAAAACTTTGTTTAAGTTTGTGGGATGATTCCGTTTGTCGTTTTGAGTTGAGACGTTTGCTTTTCTTCAAACCTGTAACCGCTACACTTTGTAGATTGGATTAACAATGTTATTAGTTTGCATTTTCGGACATTAAAACATAGGTTTTGTTATAAAGATTGGATATATGATTGGAGTTGGTTTTTTTTAGTATAATCATCTGTATCAAATCCATTGATCATTAATCTTGATCTGGCATTAATCATACCAGGTGATTGCAAAAGCAAAGCAGCTAAATGATAAAGCGGAGAAATGGAATAACTTTATCAAAGGTTACCAAAGCATAAAGCAAATCAAACGTTTTAATGGACGTATAGTTTATAACATCCGAAGAAATCCCTGCCCTATAGTTAGTTCTGTAACCTACCTTTCAAAAACACCTACTTAATAAATAACCGCCTTATTTTTCTTCTCAGTTGATATCACACTTTTTTTTTTCAAAATGTCCAACAAAACGCACTATAACCCATCTAACAACATGATCCATCACATGTTATCGTTCTCATGTTGATCGGATTCGTCCGAATTTTCCATTTCATCGGCAGAAGTTACAGTCTGTGACTGTGAGGTTGCATTGCTTTCATCTGAAAATTTGTTGTTTTCTGTAGCATTGAACGTCGTCTGTTTCTCCATCATCCCTGACAGAGCCAGGCTTGGAGACCATTCAAGGACATCATCAATTATATTTGACATTCGCTTCTGATACCTGCAAGGCAAGTGTAAATTTAAAATTTCAGATGTATGATGCCAAATGATTCCAAGAACAATAATGGTCCAGGAAAGATTGAGCCATTTAAATACCAACGACCAAACAACCTCGTATTAGTTAATAACCCGATTTCTATTGACAGTATTACCAACGACATATATTCAAGATTTTCAAAAACTGTATCATTTTTTAAAGCAATAAGATGATTGAACTGCTGTATCAAACAATAGAAAACAAGGTTCGTTCTAAGTAGATATTTAAAGAAGAGCAGATTTGGAACTGACCTTGCTCTAGCAGCCTCATTAGGGGCATGGTGCCTCAGCAACAATATGACCAACATAGCCACTATTGCATAGAACAGCCTTGCTGTCCATTTCGGTCGCTCTTCTTCATCTTTTTGGGGCCAAAAACGGAATAACTCTCGCAATGTTGCCTCCTCAGCAAGAATGTTAGGGAAGAACCAAACACGCTTTCCTAGAATGATCCATGCAGCACCAAATATTGCAGCTCTCACTGCAAATTTTATAATTAAAGAAAAAGGAAACGGCAAAACATGAAATTGCATAAAGCAGACCAGATATATAAATATAGAACTGAAGTAAAATTCAACTTAAACCCTAAAAGATTTTGGCCTCTCTTTTGATGAGCCCCAAGGTTTCAGGAGCAGAGGGGTTTCAATCCCCCTTCAACTAGCTGAATCATTAATCCAAAACACAGGATCCTAAGATTGTAACACCTACTACTTCAATCACACACGAGAGTGAGAAATACAGATCACAATATTTTCTACCAATTCTTAATTTTCTTAATAGTATTGGTGACAGATGTTTATTGGAAAGAAAAACACAACAAATTGACCAGCTGTAATAGGAAGGACTGGAGATTATATGATCCTATCATAACATACATGACAATAGGATTCTGTGACTAAAACAAGGACTTAAATGTAATGCAATTCTTAGGTGGCAAACAAAGCCTTGAACGGAGAAAAAAGGCCGTGATAACAACATATCCTTGCTCAACCTGAAAATCAAACTAACAACTACTGCCTTCTTCAGCCATCATAATTCAATTAAATTTCTTTTAACATGGTAAACCAAAGAACATTTAGTTTCTAATAGCATCAAAATGCACTTAATATCGTAAAAGAGCTAACCAAATAACATAAAAAAGGATCTAATATATATTAATATAAAATAATATCCACAAAACTGAATACAGAAAAACTTACATAAAAGCAATGAGAGAATAAGTAGAAGCGCTCCCGCACAACAGTACAGTATTAGTAATTTGCACCGATGTGGATATACAGGAAACAAGCAAATTGCAAGTGTCAACACAGGCCAGATAAATGAGAGAATTGTTTGCCATAATGGCCGCCGTTTTACAAATGTCCATGCAAAAAACGCATCATTTTCAGAGAACACTTGTTCCTGCAGAAAGATCAGGGTAAATCCAAAAAACAAGATGACATTAGTTTCAGCAAAATAATCACGGCATGGATGATAAAACAGAGACAGCATAACAAATGAAAGACCAATTGAATGCCAGTATTAGCTTTCCAAAATTCAATCATCTTGGGAATTTGTTCTATTTGACAGCCATCCTCCTTTTGTAATCATTAAAAGAAGTTTTGATGAAATGACGTCAACAATGCAAGTTTAAGAAAACATATATTATTTTAAGAATTAATATGCAAAAAGGAACCAGAACATCAAAGGTGCAAAATGAGGGGAAGGAGGGAGGATGACTGTTTAAAATGAACTTTGTAGGAAAGAAAATGACAGTGGACAGTCATAAATATAACACTGCATGTCATAGAAAAACTTAGACCTCACAACACAAAAATTGTTCACTAATTAAGATTAGAAAAGAAACTATGTCAAAGATACTATGTCTTGGCACATAGGAAATTTCAAGCTTGAAGAATCACTCAATAAAATGAAACAAGCCCCCATGACTTCTCTTAAATATATATATATGTATATAAAATATAAAAACCCTCATAATTTACATTATATACAAGTTCAAACTGGTGATATCAAAGGGCAGACCATGCGTACAAGTCTAAAATAAGGTATTTGCAAATATTAAGCATAAAATCTTATGGATTCTCCTGAAAATAGGAAACATAAAGGAAGAAAAGTTCAAGCAGAAGCATTATAGAGCAGAGTAGCTGTACAGGTCTAGTCTGCATTTAGTAATTGTGGAGGAATAACTCTTTGCATATGTCAAGATGATAACACAATATGCATACAACAAATATACATGTTTTTCTATCAGAAATTCAAACTACACCACCACCTAAGAGTAAAAGTAGTAAATGTCTAAATGATTTTATAGATTATTTAAAATTTAAGGGAGTAAAAGACTCACAGGGAAAATTTCTAAATGTGCAGGCCAGGTAGACAACTTTTTCTTCCCTGGGCGAACAGTTTTCACCACACGGTCACAGCGCACCAAAAGATTTTTTTGTAACAAAATATCAGCAATATCTTCAGTTTCTAGATTTATATCTGACTCGAGTATCTCTTTAAGCTCAGGATGATTTTTCATAAAGCTTACAAAATCCTTCCCTCTAAAATATTCAACACGAGTTTCCTGCAAGACAGCCCATCTGGAAACCAAATCTTTGTGGTCCCTCACTTTCTCAGCAAACAACTGGAACACATCCTTTTTGACAGCTTTTTTCTGGTCAGAAAGGAAATTATACAAAAAAATAAAAAAATACAAAATTCATGAATTATGTTCAACAATAAGTGTTCGGGAGTACATGTACACTGAAAAACAAGTAATACTAAAATTCATATCACAAAGATCAAAGTCAAATACAAAAAGCAATACCATCAATCAGTCAGAAAAACTATGGCAACGAATCATATTTAAGGACATATCTCAATAGCATCCGAGACGGTCAAGCTGTTATCATAGATTTTTACAGCATTAGTAAGTTAAATTACCATTTTGTTAAAATGTGGAAGCAACAGTTTTCTGAGACAACATACTATGAAGATCAAACTCCTGAGCTTACAAAATATTCTACCATATCCTCTACATTGAGTTCCTCTTTAAGAAAAAAAATTCCATACTATGACGATCAAACTCTTTACATAATTTTTGCAAAAGTGGAAACATAGGATAGCCGAAAAGTGAAACATTCTAAGACAGCATAAGTACATAACCCTTCCAAATGTAATGAACAATTCAGACATTTGAAAATGGAGCCTGAGAATATATCCGCTTTAGTGTTTAAGATAATCAAAGAGAAAAATTCCAAATAAATAAAAGAGCCTATAGGATTTCCTGCCTCAATTCCTCAAAAGAAAAGAAAAAAAAAACAAAAAGGAAACTGTAGTGCGCTGATTGAGCTGGTACAAACAATTAACACGAATCAGTATCCATCTTTCATTTTTTTTATTTTGGAAATATATACATATAATTTTACTTGTTCAAGGAAATGAGTAGTATTCATACTAAATTTCATGACATCAAAAAATCAAATCAAACGTAAATGTCTACCAAAGACGGAAAAAATGTCAAATAAAAGACGAAAAAACAAACTAGATCAAAGAAATGAAAATAGAAAGAAAAAAAACGAACCCTAGGAGGAGTATCGGATACGGGATCTCTGCTGACGTTATGTACGGACGCCGAAGATCTTCGGGTTTTCTTCTTCTCTGCTCCTCCTGATTTCTTCATTCCTTTCTTTTCCCCTTCTTGGCTCTCTCTCTCCTCTTCTGTTTTCCTACTAATTTTTCGTTTTCACTTTTCTTTATTATTTTGTTTTCGTTTCTTTAGATGTATCTACTATCTAGCAATCTAATTCAGTAATAAGAATGGAAATATAATTATATCATGATACGTATATTAATATCTAAATATTGAGAGTGAGAAATATTCTAAATTATCACTACAAATATATGATTAACAAAGTTCAAAAAATAAATTTAAAATCTTTAAATTAATATGTATTAGAATAGGTTAAGTTTTCACTTAAAAATGAATAAGTTAAATTCTATATTAAAATAGTTTTGGTAATTGGTTCACGAAATATAAAATTACCAGTAGGAATAAAAGATTACCAGGGAATAGGATTATTGAGAATGTTATATTTTATGTTTGATTGGTTTAGCAGGAAAGTAAGATTACCGTTTTTGGTTAAATGAATAAAAGATTATTGGAATATATATTTGATCAAATTGTCCTTATTATATATTTGTTTTTTTAATAAGTTGGAAAATATTTATATATTCTCTTTAAAAAATTTAAATTCATAAAATATATATATATATATTTTTACAAAATTAAAAAATATAAAAATGTTTAATGAAAGTGTAAAATTTTATTTTAACCTCTGAACTTCATATAAAATTTTAATTATAATTTTTTTTTGTAAATCTAAAATAGTTTAAGGATAAATTTGTAATTTAACATTCGTAGAATTTTTATTATTCAATGACCGAATAAGAATATTTTTGAAAAAAAAATTAAGGGCGTTTTAATCCAAAACACCGGTAATCCAATCATATCTAAGGAAAGAGAGGTAACGACATTCCCGGTAATATACCCTAAAAAATCCACTATTGATAATGTAAGATTACGGGAAACGACATTCCCAACTAACCAAACGGGAGAATGTGAATTACATTCCCATGAGAATCTCACATTTCCCCAACCAAACACACTCGTAAATGAGTTTATTTTGTGAAAAAAGTTAGTTTTTTAGAAAAGAAAAGTTAAAATTTAAATTAACTATTCCTTTTTATAGATTTGATATAATATATAAGAAGATATAGAATTAAATATATTTAAAATATTCTAACAAAATAGGAAGAGGAAATGATAATATAGATATTATATCATTAAGTAAGAATTTTAATTTTTATTAAAAATAATTAAATCATATTTTGCAAATTGCATCCAGGGAAACGAAAAAGACCTAAATAACCCTCTGAAACTTTCATCTTCAAAAGTAATTCAAGTGACTGCTTCCCTTACCGAACAATAAAAGAGAAAAAACAATGGTCGGTCTCCATTATTTGTTGCTTCAAAGCAAGCATCCATCACCATTTCCTCCGCTCTCTCTTTTCAGAACCAAACATTCAACACTTATTGCTCGATTGGTTAAACTTCAACATCAACATGGCGCGGATATTACCATTGATTTTAATTCCAAGAAAAATACCAACCTACCATCTTCGCCTTCTTGGATTGTTCATGCAGTGGAGAAAGATACAGAGCAGTTTGAAGTAGACCCAGAAAAGGCTAAAGAAGCACTCCGAAAGCTTGACCAGCAGCTGCAAACCCTGTCCAATAAACAAGTCAGCACTCCTAAGATCAGAGGTAGCTAATATTTTCCCTATCTTTCTTCTTTATAATCTTCAATTCTCTGTTATTGCTTATATTTTGGAAACTATAAGTAGAAATCTGTTGTTTTTTAGTTAATAATTAAGTTCATGGATGCATTTTAGAGTAATTTTGTTTTACCAATGCTCTGTCCTGAAACAAGAGATTTCTCCCAAAGAAATCAAGTGAATAGCTTAATCAGTAGAGTCAAGCAGCAAGCAAGTAGTAACATCAACTTGGGTTTAGTCCGATTTAATCTCCATTAGCGACGATATTTATCGGATTTGAAGTTCGAATTTCAACATCCACATATCTTAGACTCCGACGTTCTTTAGAAAAAATAGTAACAACAACGGCATCAAATTTGCGTCTATTCTGTAAAATTTACTTATGCAAATGACAATCGACAATTTTCTTCCTTGTACCTACTTTCCCTTTTTCAAACTATGAAACTCTGATTGAATGTTTATAGGCCTTTGATTAATTTTAGCGTATACGTATGTCTCTAATCTTATTTATCTGCTTGTTAACAAAGGCCGTTGACAAGATTTAGTAACATGTTTAGTTTTAACCGATTGGCTGATTGCAGCTTCAGATGTAAAGCTTACAAGGGACGAAATGGTAGAAGATAGCCCAGAAATTCCAGGGTCTTCCTTAACATATTCAACTGTTGCTCTCCCTACTTTCACAATCTTCTACAACGTGTTGTTTTACTCGGTGATAAAACCGTCCATCGACGGACCGGACTCAGCTCCTCAACCTACCATCAGCCAGACTGAGTCAGGAGGTGCAGCAGTTTTGCTGTAGTTGTCCACTCCACTCCTTCCACCATTAACACCACAAGTTTCTTTCCTTTCTGGTGGTGTATCTAATGTTAAGAGCAGATTTTTATACATGTAATTGAAACTTGAAGCATGTTTTAGCCAATATTCAAAAATGCAAAGCAAATGAAATACGTAAACTTTGAAGCATTCCTTCAAAATTCGAAGATACATCTTGATTTACGTTTCGGCCTATTCAGATATTCTTTCCTGTTTGCTACCAACTCTTCTGCTTCTGCAGTTCAACAGAAACATAAGTCATCACTTGGGTAATAAATTGCTTTTATTTATTTGTTCTTCCATATTAGCAAAATTGTATTATGTTTGAATATCTGTTTATGGATGTTGTTTAAGTAAAAAATATATCATTGTCTTAATGCATAGTGAAAATGGTTTCAATATTTTATTATACTTTTTTATTAATATAATTATTATACTTTTAAATATTTATAATGACATTTTCTAATATTTTAAGATTGAATTGAAATTCGAAATTATTTTAAAAAAGTATTGTAGAAAACATCCATATTTTCGTGTAAATTAAAAAATTCAAGATTTAGGTCCAATTTTTTATTGTTGTTAGATTTTGAAAAGTATTTTTAGAAAGAAGTATCGTAAATGAGAATGTTAAAATATTTATTTTAAATATATATTAAAAAGTAAAAATAGTTAAAATATTATTGTTATCTCTAGAAGTTTCGAATTCGAATAGCTTCATTGCAGTGTGTGCATTCCTTGTCAATAAATTTAATTATTCTGAACAAATATTATTTTGTAATCGCACGTATTAATAAAAACAATATTTTAATAATTTTATATCTAAAAACTAAATTTTTTTTAAAGGCTTATTTGAAAAATATTTTTTATTCTAAAATGTTGTTTTAAATATCTTTTATTGTTTTTTTTTATAGAAAATAGCTGATTTGAAAAGTAATAAAGAAATTACTCTTAATCGCACACGTGATAGTAACACTTAAATTAATTGCATGAAGGTCTTGATGAAAATAATTGTCAATTTAAGTGGCAGCAGTCGGCTGCTATTTTGGTTCGAATTGGGTTGCTAAAATGGTTGAAAATTAGCAAGGTACAACTACATATTTAGTCATTGTACTTTTAGGGTATTTACAAGATTAGTCATTAAAGCTTCAACTATAAATACCCTAGCTAATTTAGCTTCAAAACCATCCCAAAGCATTCTAGCTTTCTTCCAATACTAAAGATAATTTAGAGAGTTTCTTGAGAGTTGTTTTCTCCTTTTTATCAAGAGAGAATTATCATTGTTTTCTCCTTGGTAGATCGAGAGAGGTTGTAATTCTTATTTTCTCATAGTGAAATTCTTCTACCGTTGCCCGTGGTTTTTACCCTATATTATTTAGGGGTTTTCCACGTAAATTTTGTGTCTTCTTTATCTTCATTTTATTTTCTAAAATTATCAGTTGCGATTTTGCTCTATCCGATAGCCGTCTTCCACAACAATTGGTATCCGAGCCAGATTAGAGTGTGTAATATCTGCTTATTGTCTTTGTGGTTGCCACCAAAAGGTGAATCCTCCAACATAAGAAAATAAGAAGTTATTACCCATTTTTTGAAGGTTCCAGAGAACTATTCACGATAATGAAATAGTGGGAGCTATCCGTAAAAGAAGCTATGTCAACGAAATTTGATATTAAAAAATTCAATGGGAGAAATTTCTCATTGTGGAAATTGAAGATGAATGTCATCCTGAGGAAAGACAGTTGTCTGGCAGCTATCAGTGAAAGGCCGGTGGATTTCACAGATGACAACAAATAGATCGAAATGGACAGAAATGCTATGGCAAACTTTCATTTAGCATTAGCAGATGAAGTATTGTCAAGCATCGAGGAGAAAAAGACAGCTAAGGAGATATGAGATCATCTCACCAAATTGTACGAGGCCACATCGCTGCACAATAAAATTTTCCTTAAGAGAAAATTGTACACTCTCCGTATGCCAGAATCTACTTCAGTGACGGAGCACTTAAATACACTGAACACTTTATTTTCTCAGCTTACATCCTTAAGCTGTAAAATAGGAGAACAAGAGCGTGCTGAACTTCTACTTCAAAGTCTACCGGATTCGTATGATCAACTCATCATCAACTTGACAAACAGTAATGTCACCAGTCTAGTCTTCGATGACGTTGCAGCTGCTATTCTACAAGAAGAAAATCGGCGCAAGAACAAAGAAGACAAACAAGTAAATATGTAACAAGTAGAAGCGTTGACAACGATGAGAGGGAGATCAACATAACGTGGCCAAAGCAGCAGTCACAAACATGGTAGATCGAAGTTGAGAAGCAAGAAGAATTTAAAGTTCTACAACTGTGGAAAGAAGGGTCACTTGAAGAAGGATTGTTGGAGTCTAAATAAAAACTCCAATCCACAAGGCAATACTGCAAACACTTCAGATGATGGAGATGCTCTATGTTGTGAAGCGTCAACCACCGTGGAATGTAGAAAGAGATATGCAGACATATAGCTCATTGATTCAGGAGCAACATATCACATGACCTCAAGAAGAGAATGATTCCATCATTATGAACTTGTCTCAGGAGGATCTGTGTATAGTTGCAATGATCATGCCTTAGAAATCATTGGCGTGGGAACTATCAAATTGAAGATGTATGATGGAACAATTAAAGTTGTTTGAGATGTGCGGCACGTGAAAGGCCTGAAGAAAAATTTATTATCCTACGGATTGTTGGATAATAATGCAAGCAAGATTGAAACACGGAAAGGAATCATGAAGGTATTCCGTGGAGCACTTGTGGTGCTGAAAGGCGAAAAGATAGCAACAAACTTGTACATGCTGAAGGGAGAGGCTTTGCTAGAAGCAGAAGCCTCTGTTGCCTCATGTAGTTCAGATTCTGTAATGCTATGGCATCAGAAACTTGGACACATGTCAGAACAAGGAATGAAAGTCCTTGTGGAGAAAAAGCTACTTCCCGGCTTAACAAAGGTATCACTTCCTTTGTGTGAGCATTGTATAACAAGTAAGCAGCACCGGTTGAAATTCAACACGTCAAATTCTAGAGGTAAAAGTGTTCTAGAATTGGTTCACTCTGACGTATGGCAAGCACCAGTTACATCCCTAGGCGGAGTAAAATACTTTGTCTCATTTATTGATGACTACTCCAGGAGATGTTGGGTGTACCCTATTAAGAAGAAGTCCGATGTGTTTTTAACTTTCAAAAACTTCAAAGCGCGGGTGGAACTTGATTCTGGAAATACGATCAAGTGTTTCAGAACAGATAATGGAGGAGAATACACAAGCGAAGAATTTGATGAATTTTGCAGAAAAAAGGCATCAAAAGACAGTTCACAATGGCAAACACTCCTCAACAAAATGGAGTGCCAGAGCGGATAAACAGAACCTTGTTAGAAAGAACAAGAGCAATGTTGAGGGATGCAAGCCTAGAAAAATCATTCTGGGCAGAAGCAGTCAATACCGCTTGTTATTTGGTGAATCGAGCTCCATCAACTGCAATAGAGCTGAAGACACCAATGGAGATGTGGACTGGTAAACCAGCTGATTATTCAAACCTCCATGTATTTGGAAGTATAGTGTACGTGATGTACAACTCCCAAGAAATTTCAAAGTTGGATCCAAAATCCAGGAAATGCAAATTCTTGGGGTATGCTGATGGAGTAAAGGGGTATCGCTTGTGGGATCCCACTGCCCGCAAAGTGATCATCAGCAGGGATGTTATCTTTGTAGAAGATAAGCTACAAAGAAAAGAAGATGATGATAGCACTGAAAAGTCAGAGACTACACAGATACATGTGTAAAAAGAGGTTGAACAAGGAGATTCTTCTGAAGCAGAACCAACACATGATGAACAAGAACCAGAGAGTTCTGAAGCTCCAACAACTCGTCAATCAGATCGTGTGAAAAGACGTCCCAATTGGCACTCAGATTATGTTATAGAAGGAAATGTTGCATACTTCCTTTTAATAGAGGACAGTGAGCCATCAACATATCAGGAGGCAATAAACAGCTCAGATGCTTCACTGTGGATGATGGCAATACAAGAAGAAATTGAAGCCCTTCATAAAAATAATACATGGGACCTTGTGCCACTACCACAAGGAAGAAAGCCAATTGGTAACAAATGGGTCTTTAAAATCAAGCGAAACGATGACGATCAAGTTGAGAGGTATCGTGCAAGACTGGTGGTCAAAAGATATGCTCAAAAAGAAGGTATTGATTTCAATGAAATATTTTCTCTTGTGGTTCGACTAACAACAGTTCGAGTAGTTTTGACAATGTGTGCTACATTGAACTTACATCTAGAGCAACTAGATGTTAAAACAACTTTTCTTCATGGAAATCTTGAAGAAGAGATTTACATGCTCCAGCCTGAAGGTTTTGAAGAAAAAGAAAAGAAGAACTTGGTTTGCAGGTTGAAAAAATCTCTGTACGGTCTAAAGCAGGCGCTGAGGTGTTGGTATAATAGATTTGATTCCTTCATTTTGTGTCTTGGATACAACGTACTTAATGCATACCCTTGTGCTTATTTCAAGAGGTCTGGTGATAACAATTTTGTTATATTGCTGTTGATTGTGGATGACATGTTGGTTGCAAGACCCAACAAAGATCATATTGAAGAATTAAAGGCACAACTGGCTAGGGAATTTGAAATGAAGGACTTGGGATCAGCAAACAAGATTCTAGAGATGCAAATTCACTGAGACAGAAGAAATAGGAAGATTTGGCTTTCACAAAAGAATTACTTGAAGAAGATCTTGTCACGATTCAGCATGCAAGATTGTAAGCCAATTTCTACCCCTCTTCCTATTAACTTCAAATTATCCTCTAGTATGAGTCCTAACAGTGAAGAAGAGAGGATGGAGATGTCTCGAGTACCGTATGCATCAGTAGTGGGAAGTCTAATGTTCACTATGATATGCACAAGAACAGACATTGCATAAGCAGTGGGAGTGGTTAGTCAGTACATGGCAAATC